AGTTCCAAGTCCTCGGAATGAGTCACAGGTTCCCGGACCTAGCTCTTCCCAATCTAATCCACGATCACAACCGCGTTCGCGCGATGAAGTTGTTTTACCTCCACCCTCGAAATGGACCACGACTAGGGAACAAACCCCTATTATCTCATCTGGTAGCAGCGACGCCGAGGCTGAGAAATCCCCTCAACCTGCAGAGGGATCTCCAGAACCTCGCTCAGGTGCTCCCAATGATGATGGTTTAGCGCAACCTCCAGATGGAGAATCTGATGAGGATAACGACGATGAATCTGATGATGATGATGACTCAGAAGAATCTGACGATGATGAGGACGAGGAGGAAAATCAGTCAGATGAAGTCGCTAATGCGCTTCGTGGCTCAACTCAGGTTGAGACGGCAGATCTACGCCGGGAAGGGGGAGCATCCCTCATTCAAAAACTGATCGCAAAGGCGATTCCACCGATTGAGGGGGAGAAAGTTCCGCCACTCAATGTGCGCGAATGGACTTTCCGTGACATCGCCAGTCTACCTACGACTGAGCGAAAGGAGTGGATTACCGCATGCAATGAAGAACTAGAGGCTCTTCGTGCACGCGATGTCTATGACCTGGTCGACCGACCGAAAGGTCGTAAGGTCGTAAAAAATCGCTGGGTATTCGACGTCAAAACTGACGGTCGAAAGAAAGCTAGACTTGTTGCGAAGGGCTTTTCCCAAGTTGAAGGCGAAGACTTCGACAAGATCTTCTCCCCAGTTGTGCGGTTTGAGACAGTTCGTCTCATTATTGCCCTAGCCGCGCTCGAGGACTGGCATATCTCCGGTCTCGATGTGCGAAGTGCCTATCTCTATGGCAAACTGGATGAAGAGATCTATATGGAACAGCCGGAGGGCTTCCGCAAACCTGGCACCAAGCATGAAGTCTTTAAACTTAAGTGTGCTCTCTACGGATTGAAACAGGCAGGACTAGCTTGGTGGCGAACACTGTCTGAATCCATGCAGTTGATGGGTTTCAAACGACTCAGCAATGATGCAGGTCTGTACATCTACAAACGCCAATCTGATGGGCAGCTAGTAGTTGTCATCGTCTATGTAGACGACGCTCTCTTTTGTGGGAAAGACAAGAAGCTTGTAGCTCAGCTTAAAGCTCGCTTCATGCGCAAGTGGGAATGCCATGATCTCGGTGACGCGAAGGAATTTCTGCGTATGCGAATCGTGCACAAAAGCCACAGTATCCACTTGGATCAATGTGCCTATTTGGAGAAAGTACTGGAACACTGCAACATGTTGAATGCGCGACCAGCTCCAACACCACTTCCTGCGGGTTACATACCTGCACCCAACAAAGGACAAGCAACACCGGAACTTCGTTCACGGTTTCAAACGGTTATTGGATCCTTGCTCTACTTGATGCTTGGTACCAGACCGGATCTGGCATTCGCCGTGACCAAACTAGCACAGTTTGCGTCTAACCCATCTGAAGAACACCTTAATCGTGCACTCTATATCTGCCGATATCTAGTCGGGACAAAGGNTTACTCCCTAGTCTATGACGGTGCTTCACAGTCAGGCCTTGTCGCCGGTACTGATTCAGATTGAGCCTCTGATCCCAACTCTCGTCGGTCACAGACCGGTTTCTCTTG